CTCCTTTTCCGGTGTTTCCTCCCCGCTCGAGGATACCGACGGGATGTCAACATTAGAGGCTGCCATCTCTGAACTCTCCAAGCCATTGTCTCGTCGCCGTCTCCAGATTCCCCGCCATAAAGTAATCGCGGCCTAGGCCGGTTGGCGTCGCTCGATGCCTCCGCTGCAATGCACTCATTACATGCTGCAACGCTTTCAGGGTTCCAGAGATGGAGGGGAGCCACTCAGGAATGGCGCAAGATTGCACTACCAGAATTGGATGACTTTGGTTCCCGCCATCGGTTCGGGCAGGCCGCAGACCCTCTCCAAGAAGTGGGCGCGCAATACTTACCTACACTCCCTGCTAATGTCATGCCTCCCTTCCCGCACCCCGTTGTTGGCCCGTCTGCTGGATCCATGGGGTCATGGGGACGGGTTCCAGGCGGGTCGTTGTGCTCTTGAAACGGTTGGCTGAATCTCGGTTCCCAGATCTTCACAAAGAGAATATTATCTCACACAGAACCGAATTCAAGTGGTAAGGCCCAGATCGGCTCAAACTTTTTATAGTAAAAGTTTGAATATTTAGTAACTCCCTCTCATCTGCAGCCAAGTAAAAGGGGTAGATTAATATGACTATACCGCGTTAGCGCTACATTAGCTAGGAGGTAGCCAATCTTACTTCTTTTTAGTATAGTTTACTAAGTTCTTCACACTGCCTTATAAAGGATGCCTAAAAACAAGGTTAAACCCCGCATATAGCAGCATCCGACCTCCATTCGGGCTTACACGAAAAACACTAACCAAAACACGTCTAGATCCGAAAAATGAGCGCCAACGACTAATATCCTACCCCTCTAAGCAGTAACAATATTATACTATTATTTAATCTATTGAATATCGATAGCGGGGAGTAATATAGTAGCTTTAATAATACGCTCTTACAACCCTTCGATAATATTCTTAAGCCGCCCAATAATAACAATAAACTACTTCCCTTCCCAACCCTCTATAATGGCTAAAGTAAGAGCCAGACTTTCGATAACGAAAGTTAATTACTTTACCCGGTAGACTACAATTAAATCGATAATAATCAACCGTTTAATATCCATTACAATATCGTAATGGCCTCCTCAAATAATACTTAACCGCTTCAAAATATTGTACAAGATAGGGAATCCTTATACGCTATATTACCCTTACCTCGTCCCTAGAAGAGGAAGCGGTAACCCAAAGCTCCAACCCCCAAGAAGAAAAAACAGCGTATTAATTAGACCTCTACTATAACCGCTACCATAATATAATAATTCCTTAATTATAAGAAGAGGAAAATATTTAACTCTATTTAGCAAAAGGACTTTATTAAAGTATAGGAGGAGGTTAAGGAGAAGTGCGAAGAGGCTTAGGACGAATATATTTAGATTGTAAAGTATATTAAAACGAAGTTTAATATTAAATAGTAATGGTACCGCAATTAGAAAGAAGCTCTTTCTATATTTAGTATATTATTTAACGCTGATACTAAGTTTCCCGAAATATTTACGTAAAATTAGGAAGCCTTTCGCAAGTAGAAGAATACCAAGAATTATACAATTGATTAGTTTATAAAATAATTACTTAATAATGCGGAAGTATATTCTAAAGTATTCTTTCGCACTAAGGCTTCGGGGAACGATATTGCTAAACCGGGAAATTCGTAAGCAAATAAACTATTTAATAATAATATTAATTTCGTTCATATATAGTACCTATTACGGCGCTCGGAATAATAGTAATTATTATAGCGGTTATATTAATATTAAGAGGGTTCTACTAATTTTAAATAGTAAGCTATATATTAAACACTATTCTTATTATTTAGGCAAATACGTTGCTAATAAATAGCGTCCTAGCAAAATCTTCTTTCTCTTGTACGAAACGTACAACTTTTCTCCTTATAATTTTTTCTTATTTTATAATTGTAGCGGCTATAACGGTAGAAAATTCTGCAAGAATTCCTTTTGTAGCTATTTAAGTAAGTAGGCCCTATTATAGCTATTATAATAATTATTCATCCTAGTTTATTGGATTTATCATAATAGAACGTAATGTAATAAGGATAGTACAATTAATATAGGTACTAGTTATACAGTTTAATTAAGGTTCTATAAAGAAGGAAAGTTCTATTTAAAAAGCCGCTCTACCGGAAATGCGAGGTTTTAATAGAGGTTGTACAGATATAGCCACGGCGCCTCATAACAGCTCTAGTCGATGATTAGAGCGCTACAACCCGGGCCTTAGCCCTATAATACCGCGTATATAACCCGCCGCTAGTTCTCTAAACTATATTCGAAAGGCGTAACTCACACAATCTTCTATCACCTTTTTAAATAACTAAAAACGTACTCTATAATATTACAGATATAAGTATAGTGTAGATTATATAATTCTTTGGGGTCTTTTAATTATACGTCCATATTTCTCCAATTTTAAACATAATATTTAATATTTAAAAAGGGAATTATAATACCTTATCTTACGCCAAACCTAGCGTCTATTACGTAATATTAATTTCGAAGGATACGAAACGAACGTAAAAAAGCCTAATTATAAAGCGAGGTATCGTTTATCGACCTTTCTATTCTTGCTAGTACGTACGTAAAAGAATAGTCGAATTTAATGGTAACGAATACGTTCTAACTTATTTAACCCTTTTAATTGTACTATCTCAACTAATTATCCCTCTTCATAAACGTAATAATATAAGTACCGTCAATCGTACCAATATAACTATTAAAGGTATTTAAGCTAGGGTCTAATTCGATATTAGGATCCAAGTAGTTATCTAGTAGTAATTATATATACGCCGTATATAACTATTCGAATCGAAGGAGTATATCGTTTATAATAGCAAATACCGTACTCTAGCTAATCTAAAACTTGTACGAAGTAATTTATTGAGATTCGTAATGGGTCAGAACGTATAGAAAGATTATTACCTTCTAGTATACCGTCTAATATTAATTAGTTTCTAGACCGGTATAGTTTTAAAGCTATCGTACTAGTATATCGAAAGTATATCGATCCATTCGAAAGAATTATTTAAACTAGATAGCTGAACCGTAGTAGATTTTATTAATTAACTATCTGGCATAGTCTATACCATAATATATAGCTTCAAGAGCCTTCCTCTCCTTAGTACTAAGGATAACGTAAATAGTAATTGCTACTATAAAAGTAAAAGTAATTCGGTTAATACAACCCGGATCTATATCGACCGATATCGACGACTACAATTATATAGCGGTTATAGTATACTAGGGTTTTAACAACTAGGAATACAAAACTCGAATACGATTTAACCGATATAACATTTATTAATATAATAACCCTATTTATATTATATATCTTGGTATGGGAAACGCCCAAAAACTTGTAAAAAGACTCAAATTATTGGGTCTTATCTACTTTTCAGGATTCTAGTAGAAAATCTGTTAAAAACAATAAGATTCTGGGCATTCTAGCGATCTTTGGCCATTTCAAGAAGGTAATATGGCCTACATTAGCGGGTGACCTCCTTTCACTACCTTAGTTCAAATTTGGGCGAGTTTCCCAAAGTTTCCGCTGCCCAAACTGGTTAGTCCAGAAAAAAAATCGAACTTGGCACCAAAACCCCCTGTCTGGCAAACTTTTCCCAAGAAAAAGTTCGAGCCGATCTGGGCCTAAGATAGCCGCCATCAACAACCGGACCTGTGGAAGGGGGCCTTTCATCATTGTTACGAACAAGAATAGCGCTCATCGCTCAGACGGAATGTCTACAATTGGCAATCAATCATCCTGATCCAAGACGGACCGACAGCGTCTCGACCATGGTGGGCCCCAAGGTGGTTCAGACCATGTCTCTCCGTTCCCCGGCCCCCTTTTAGGCTCATCCCGCTGTTGTCATCTTCTTCCGGAGTCCGAGTCTGGCCTCCTGCAAGGTCCACTTTCTTCTGCACCTTGATACCGTTTTGACAGAAGTGTCATGCGCATTTTACATCTCAACCCCCTCACCCGCTCACCGTTCTGCAGCCACAAGTTTTGTTTCCCATCCAACATCAATTACGTCTACAGCGCGGTGTGCTCACAGGATCAAACTGGACACTGGCGGCGCCTAAAAACGGTCCTCTTAGGTGTTGGTGTAACGACGCCCCGGCGGCCGAGCGCATGCACCTGTGTTTGCTTACGATCTCATTTACCGAGACATGCCCAAAGTGAGACGGGAGGCAGGTTTTTACCTAGCAGGACGCTGCGTATGGAGAGAGAGACTTGGAGCAGCAAGTGGAAGCAACAAGCAAGGCGTCGGGCACCACGGCAGGGGTGTGTACTGTACATAGTGTACCCGTAATTTTCACATGTACAGTACTGTACTGGTAAACAATTTCGGTATGCGCATTTCAAATTGGCGTGTTGGTCGCTTGTACCAAGGTATCTTGACTGTTCTCCCGGTGTGCTTGCTCACAGTCCCCGAGTCCTTCTTGACAATGGAGGAAATGCCTTTACCGGTTTCCTGGAACCGCCTTCACCGATTGCAGAATGTTGGTGCGTTCTGTCATGTGTTAGAAATGAGAAGAAATGAGCATACGCTGACACCCCGCAGCGAAGGGCGACTGAGGGGAATTTACGCATGCTGGCAATTTCTTCCAGACTATTTGTTGATTCATCTCACCCTTCTCGACACCATAATCCGTTACCCATGGCGTCGAATGTGAGTGTCGATGATCTAACTACATTTACGTGAGGAAACAAGAAATCTCATATGCCTCACATTGAGCGCCTGAGGAGAACAACTTGAACAAAGCAACAGAATGTGCTAGGTTGAAGGGGAGCCGCCTTACTTATGTCAAGCACTTTGAGCTGCAACCAAGTTTGGCCTGTTCGAATGCCGGAAAGATGGAATGCGAAATGGACGGGGAGATGTTCCGGTTGCCAGATGACCACCGCTGTGGTTAACAACCGCCCAACTTCCTCCACAATCGGATTTTTGAATCTAAGGTACCTATGACCTAATCTATTTCTCCGTTAGACGACCAGCATCCTTTGCCGTGGCTTTCACCGTGAATGACGACGGGAAACTTCACCGGTTGGGTATGGCTGCTGTTACAGATCTACAATTCTACATTGCGGTCATGACACTGTGTATATGCGAACAGCATGTCTCCCGTTCGGTCCCGTAAATCGGGATACGTGGCCGGGATGGCAGTGAGCACGATGACGGGGTGGACCACGAGCTTTGGCCGGGAACCTGGGTATGAAAGTTATGTGGAATGCAGTGAGTTGACGACCGATGGAGGTGAGCACTTGCCCAGATCTCATATTCACGACATCTCACCTTTCCTCTCGATGGTCAGATGGCGGCCACCAATGCATAGAGACCTAATGGTGTTGGTGTCGCGGACATCGTCGAAGGAGAGCCAACACAACTGTAGGCAAGCGGCACAGACCGAAACAAAGCCCGCCAAGTTTGGCCGCGGGCGCGAGACAGAGTTGCTCTCTTCTTCCCCGTCACGGCGCTTGTCTGGCAGCCGGAAAAAGCGGTCTGCATGTCTGTAACCGGCTCAGACTGACCCAGCTAGCAACCCATCGCTTCTCATGTCCCCGGTAGGTCTGCGGAGGATCGCGACTCTCGAGAGTGGAATTCATTCATGTCTTAACAAAAAGTCAGGTCGCCGTCAAACTGATAAGCGCTGGCAGCAATGGCGCGTTGATGGGCATCAGTCATCACACATTGAGGGAGGGTTAGGGGCGATGTAGTTGGAAATAAACCAGACAAACCTGGCTCCTGGTTGCTAGCGCCCTTCTTGGCAGTCACGTGGAAAAACACTCCTGTACTCCACCATTCTTCCGCTCCTCAATCTGGCGGGCCTGGCGGGAACACCGAAAAAAAAAGTGTGTCGTTGCTCGTTAGTGCACCCACTTCCTCCGTCCTCGACACCCAACCGCGAGCATCGTATCACGGTTAGGAGAGGGTGTGGCGTCAATCTTTTCTTTTTTTTCTTTCCTTTCCTGTTTTCCAATCTCTCCTTTTCTGGAGACGACCATGGCCGATCTCCTTTCCCGGTACCTGGGGTCAGCCTGTCAGACCTCGTTCCTTCTCCCCGGGGTTGGCTGGGCGAGCTGGAGGCGTTCAGGCGAGAGCATTCCGCCGTCTGGTTGATGCACTTCATTTGACTGGAGCTTTCAAGTCCAGGGCAACCCCAGGTCCCGTCACGGTCCGCCCGTCCACGCGTGGGTGCTCTTCAGACTCCATCTCCGTCTTCCTCTCCGTTTCGGCGAAATTGAGAGCATCTTCTCGCCTAAAGTTGGTCTGTGTCATGTGCCGAGTCGGAGTCCTGTCCGATGCGTTACTATGTGCTGAAACAGATACTGATTGGTGATCAAGCTAGGTATCAGGTAGACACAAAGACCTGAGAACGGCACAGCGTACCAACAGACCGGGAATCATTTTCTGCGTGAGCAACAAGCCACCAACTTACGGCGTCTTCTGGTTGGCGTCCGGTCCGTGTTCCAATGCCGTACCAACCACCGTCGGGAATTACGAAGCTCAGCCAAGACAAGACAAGCCATGCCCCTAAAACGTTACCCAACATGGAGCCCGAGTTGGCGCTGTGACCTCCTCGAAGACCTTTTGTGCGGCCCACGCTGGCGGGGATGATCGAGCACCACGAGGTGACAGAAAAGTTGGGGTTCCCTGTTGGGCCACGTTGCATTGGGGGCCACAACTGTACCTTCCCGTTCCGCTTCTTCCCGGGCGTGCTGCATGTCCGTCATTGCCTCTTCTCTCCCAAGATGGAGAATGTACGGAAAGGTAATTGCCGTATCGTATTTACGAGCAACGTAAGATATGTCAAGAGGATGTACTTCGTAAAGCTGCCCTGGATGACTCGAAAGCAGCGCAGCACTTTACCGCAACACGCGCGGCTCCTGTACGACGACCGTCACCACTGCCATTCCTTCTCTCGCACGCCCGGCCACACACAGCAGACGGGCTATGAGGCCATTCTCTGAGCATGCTTACAAAACAGGTATCTTTGCAACCCAGAGATTATTGCACCGGCCGTGATCCAGTGGTCAGAAGACTGTCTCCACGCGCCCCATGCGGAGGGATACAATGACCTTGACGACACCAGCGAGAAAGGCCCGATTTCGCAATTGCTCGCAGAAGCCGAGAACCTCAGCTGCGACCTGGGATGATGCCACCGTTCGTGGGGCTGTGTCGCACACTACTGCAACCCGTCAAAACGTTAGCACCCTGCGAGAGACATGATTGGAAAACCCGGCAATGAGCGTTATCAAATTTCTGGTTGAGCTTCTGGTGAAGACCACTGCAGGGAGAACCGCGTTTGGACGTGCGGTAGGACGGAACGGGTGAGAAAAACGGGCGGGTTCGCCCGCCGTCCAAGTGACGCGGACAGGATGCGAGTCCATGCACATGGGAATGTGTATCGCCGAGTTTTGGGGAAGGCAGTCAGTCCCTGAAAAGATTCTTCTCGTCCCCGCCTCTTTATACGGTGGTCGTCATGCATCAAAAGTGCGCTACGCCGTACAATACACACTCCTGACACTCAAACCCCATGCGACGGATACCAGAGCACCAAATGTGATGAAAGCCGTCAGCACAGCTTGGTCACATTTTGTGAATGTCATGTCCGACAACCTTCGGCTTCACACAGGTTTCCTTGTCGCACTTTTATATTTGAGCAATTTGAGCCCTCACTCAATTCAGGTCGACGAGTCACAAACCGGTCGCTGTCCTTCCGGCTTCGTCTTTCCAGGTTTGCAATCGATCCAGGTAACAGAGAGCGAACGTCGGACTGTACAGTCGTACGGGGATTGGCGCTCGTTTGCCTAGCTAATGCTCAACTCGAGCTGAAAGGTGGAGAGAAGACGCCAGTCTTCTCGCCCACCTGACTGAGGCCGTCTAGCGATGGATAGGAAGGAGAGCATGAAACTGGCGAAATGGTACGGTACCATTTGATGCGCAGCCACGGCAGTAGATTTACCAGGAAGCGCTCGGATTAGGGAGGCAAAACGAGCAGGACCTATAGGGGGAAGCAATGCACCTTCTATCCCCATCCTGAGCGGACCGGACGGGCCCGTGAACTGTGACCATGGGCTAGTGTGAGGAGGACAGTTCCATCGATTGGTAGGGCAGAAGCAGAGTCTCGCAGGCAAATGGCGGTGTGCCTCCATTTCCGCCTGTCCATCACCAGCATCCATGTAGTTTTTTTTTCGCTCGCCATCAGTCATTCCGCCATCGAACCTCTGGATTGATCTCCAATGCCGTATCGGAAAGAAAAAATCGTCGACCACGGCTGTGAGAGGAACAGAAGAACAGGAGGATCCCAGGTGCAGTGAGCGCATGCAGTCTACCTAGTGCATGTTGCTGACTATTTCTTATGTAGGTGGCCAGAACAGAACATTTTCTACTAACATCCTCGGCAAGAGGGGTCAAGAGAGGCGATGGGGCAGGTCTTTAACAATGGGGATCCTGGACTCTCACTCGCATGAGCGACTTTTCGACGCATGGGGAGCCCAGTCATCTCACTGCTCATGAAGCCCAAGTGAAAAAATCCCGTCGCAAGCCGCCCACCCGTCCGCCGCCCGCCTGTTTTCTACGACTATCGTCTTCTGGCTAGAGGCTGGGTACCCGCCTACCCGGAGGTCGCCTGTGGTTGCACCGACTGGGAGACGGGCTTGATGCGGCATTCTTATCACAGCAGGAGTCTGGCACATACCGATGCGCTATGGGGCGTCGCGGGTGCCATCTTCAGGCCTGTCACTCAACCAAGGCAAGCGAGCGGCAGGCCCGAAATGTGAGATCTGACAGCTCCCGTTGCGCCGTCCGGGGCGGGCGCACGCGGGAAAATAGAATCCATGGCTATTTCCTTCTCTCGTGGTACCCAAATCTGGTCAGCATGAGACCAGTTCGCTAGCCTGGGAAGCACAAGAGGTCGGAATGGGCAGGATGAGAGGCACATCTCAATGATCAAGCCTCTGATGTTCAACGGACTAATCGATTAGGTACCCTCCATCAGGTTTCTGGTGAAGCCCAACCGAAACTGTGAGAGTGTGGAAGGACAAGAACACTGCAGGCGTCCGCGCAAAACTGTGCTACCCAAGAGTTCCACACCACTCGCAGGCACAATACAGACCTTGGTGAGTGCGGAAATGTGGCTGGCGTTGGGAAAAGGTTCAGCGGTTCGGCTCGAGACGACGAAGAGGAGAAACACTGGGAAACGAACGTCTTGCGCTCCCCGTCTGACCTCTGCGACAGGGAGACCGCATGTTGGAAACGGATCCCGGCCTCCCGAATTCGGTCTTCCGCCTTGACCGCTCGCTCGCCCAAGGCAACCGCATGTATCCCTACAGCGCATTTGCATACAGCAGGCGCGTATCGACGCCCATTATCACCCAGATACCTATCTACTGGTGTATTTCGGCAGGTGTACAGACGGCCAGCGCTCTGCAGCAGTTGGCAGGTAGTAGCAGGTGCAGAAGCAGTGAGGCCTAAACGCAATGGAAGCAAGGCGGCTGATTGTTTACTAGCAATCATGACCTAATCAACCACTTGCGAGGCCTGCCTATCATGGTCTCCGTTGATGGCCAATATGCTGCAGTCCTGGCCATGCTACTCTACTTTTGTCATCTCCCATCCTGCAAGCTGTCAGTCTTGGGACACACGTTACGGCGCGGTTTGGGCACGGCAAAAGAACGGAACTTTGCGTACATCCAAAAAGGGCCACTGGTCAGTTCCCCGTCTGCTGTTTGATTCTGTTCTCACAGGTGCTACCCAGCAGTGTGTAGGTTGTCTTTGAGCGAATCCTGCAGTCTTCCCGCCCTCTCCTCTCGGACTGGATGCCACACACTATACCTACAGCATACAACCCAGCGAGCCCTCTCAAATAGTTTCCAATTTGAGAGGTGGGTGAATAGCTCTGGAGGCAGTCTAGACCGACTGTAACTGGAGCAAACGAGCCAAGATGGTGTTGAGGACAAGGTAGCTCTGCCTCGGCTAGCTTGCTAGCCACACTTAGGTAGTGTACCACTGTTAGATTTTACGGCACGCTTCTGCGGTCCTGTGCGTTCAGTGCCAGCCAGGGTCATTCTCATACACTGCATTGTGCGTGATGCTTTCTGTTCCATTATCAAGGCTTGCCAGAAGTGCAGGAAACAGAGAAAACTGGATGACAGTGTGACGGATTGGGACTCGGAACGGAGCGGACACGGTTCAACCCGTATGCACATCTTGCTGATACGGGGAAAGACCGCACGTCCCTTATATTACGTATGACTCGGATACGTAGTGTTCGCTAACGAAGCTTTTCAACAATACTTGGTCCAACACGTCCGTCCTAAAGCGCCCTATAGCGTGCCGAGCGTGCCTATCAAGGCTCGAGCCAGGGTTACCGAGATCAACTGGAGAACAGCGTAACTCCTATCGCGAGGAGATATCAGGGGCTGCTGGACCGGATTCCAGTACTTAGGGGTTAGCGATGGCTTGGGTGGACCCTTTTGCCAACCCCCTCTTATAAAAAAGGGAGAAATTTTTGTGTAGGACAAACTTTTAGTTTAAGACAAGGCCCGGTTAGTACTATATAGAATTAACTATTAATGCCGCGTAAAGCTACTATTTATATTGTAAAATCGGATAACATTCTACACCGCAATACATACCCACTATTCATAAATCTCATCGTAAAACTATAAAATAGTAAATAATTTATCTATTTATAAATTAATAGATGAATTATTAAGCGTTTAATACGTATAGTACTTATAAATTTCGATAAGTACTTTAAAGAGTTGGGAAAAGCGCTTACTAAATATAGAAGCGCCCGTATATATTTCAATACTCGCGAACGTTTTAAACGCTTTAAAATATCGCGTAAGCCGCCGATTATTAGAAAGATTACTACTATTATTAAGGAATTATATACTTCTATATTTCACTATATTAAATCGTTAATTAAGTATAATAAATTAATTATTTCATTACGCTTAATAGGGAGGCCCCGTATATTAATACCCATTAAAGAGGATACTTTCGTATCATATATAACATTCTATTTCCAGGGAAACTTTCCTACATTATATTAAATAATTATCATAGTGGTAAATTAATCATATTCGTTACGTAGAGTTTTAAAAACTTATAATACGATGTAATTACTTAATTTCTTTAAAGATTACCCTAAATTAAAAATTACAATTTACTATACGGTTGATATTAAACAGCGGTTTTAAGAATTAAATAAAGATTCCGTTAATAAGTGGTTTAATAATTACAAAATTATATTTAAAAAAATACAATATTGATGGTAGTAATATTTAGAATTGTAATAAAATAGGTGTAAAATTAGGTTATATAGCAGGCGGGCGCGTAAAGATAATTATATTAAGAGAATTATTTGAGTATAAAGTAAGTTAATACAATTAAAAATATTACTTTACTAATTAAATTATATAGAGATAAATATTTACCGTTTTTCTTTATTTATTTCTAATTAGAAATTAACGATATTATTAATCAAAAGTCGGCTACCCTAATAGTTAGAAAAAATACAACTGGTAAAACTATCCTTATTTATATAATCTTTAAAACAGATTTAATAAAGGATTTTATTATTAACAATTTCGACGATTCTATACGGTTCGCTAAATTACCAATTAATTTTTCGAATACCGACCTTACTCTCAATTAATTAAAGTATTTTAATTAATATTCTTTCTATTTATTCCTTACTTTTACGAAATTAAAAGAAGAGGATAGCTATAAGTTAAGCAATAAAGGGTTTTCTTTCTAAAATTAGTTCGGGTATAATTAGTATAGAATTAACTATATTAATAAGAAGTTCGAAGATTTTAGTAATAGTGTCAGTTTAAAAAGGTTTTATAAATTAATCTACTATCTATTAATTATCGACGGATTTAATAATTATTATAGTATAAAAATTGAATAATATACTAATACCTTCGATATTATCCTAATAACTTTACCTCTTTATTTAATATATATAATATAATCTCGTAACGTTAATATATCTTCGTTCTTTAAAATTCACTATTAAAAAGTATTAAGGTAGTTTGTTCAACAGGGCGAATTCAACTTTACTCACGCTACGTTTATTAAATAGTTTAAAATTAACTTCGTCCTTATATTATCGTTTCGTCCCCTTATTAATTATATTATCCACGACCTTTTAACATATCCTTGATAATAATATAGCTATATATAAAATTTTTAATAGGTTTTTTTTAATATTAGGACGTAACTAATTAACTATACTAGAATCCTATTATAAATCCGAATAAAGTAGCTTAAGAAATCTAACCTCGCCCTACCTTCGTTATTTCTTAAGGAAGACCGCTTTCGAAAAACTACGAAAGTTATTATTTATATTAAAAATAAATATTATTATATATTTAATTCTCCTACGCGTATTTAATGTTACGCCGCTAAAGTCGTTATTTATAAAGCGCCGTTAACGTATAATAATATGTAAGAATATAACCGTTAGAATAGAGAGAAAGCAGCTAATTTCGAATATAAAATAAAGCGGCGGGTATATAAAATTCTTCGAAAGGGCGAATTTTTAAATCTTTTTAAGGAAGAACTTAACTAGAGAATTATAGAGAAGTAACGTAAAGAATAACTAATTAATAAAAAAAATAATTAATAACCGTTAAGGTATATAATAAGAAAATTTAGAAATAACTATATAATAAATAAATTAAAAATCTAATTAATAATAAAGGGAAGGTTATATAGAAAGTTTACTTTAATAATTAGAAAAAAGAGCTATTAAAAGATAACTATATACTGGTTTATAAAGAGGATATATTTAATAACAACGAGAAAGAGGAGAAGGAGGGGGGAGGGTTATTTATATAGGATATATAAGGTATACTAATACTAAAAATCTTTAAAAGGGTATAGAATAACCCCTCTTACTTCTTTTCTAATAATTCGGTTAATATTAATTTAAGTAATAATCTCTCTACTATTCAATACCCTTCTACTATTTAATAACCGCTAAAACCCCCATCTTCCCCTCCCTATCCACTTTAATAACCCACTATTAAAATTAATTTTTAAATAGCTGCCTATATTAATATACAAATTATTAATTTAATAAAGGAGCCTATTCCTAAATTTACTACTAACGTTATTATTCGTTTTAATATATAGATAATTAACGCTATATTTAAAGACGAAAATACCTTTATTAATAATAAGGATGAAACTATCCTTAAAGTAATATACGATAGGGAGGATGATAAAGAAGAAGAGGAAGAGGAAGAAGAGGAGGAAGAATATACTTTACTATTACTCCTATTAATTAATTACTAATTTTTTAACTTACCTACTACGTTAAAACCTTCCATACGAGTTGGGCTATTAATATTAATACTAATTGTTAACACCTCTACTCTATTAAAACTACAGTCTTTCGAATTAATACTATATTAAGGGGTTATAAAGTACGTTGAGGGTACTATAAGACCTCGTATATAGGTATAAAAGTAAACTATACGTATTAAAAATATATTAGTAAAAAGGGAAATAGTCGTAGAAGAAATAGTACCTATACTTATACTTATATTAGTACTTATATTAGTAGAAGAGGTATTAATATTTGTACTAACGCTAGAAAATAATAAAGATTGAAATTCTTTTATTTATTCACTTACTACCTAATTAAGTAATATACTAGACTTTAAATAGCTTTAAACGACGTTATATTAATATATAATATAGTACTTTATTATAGGGATGGGATAATTTATTAGTAGTTTACTATATAGGTTGTCCTAAACTAAAAGTTTATTCCACACAAAAATTTCCCCCTCTTTTATGAGAGGAGTTGGTAAAAGGGTCCACCCAAGCCATCGCTAACCCCCAAGTACCCAATCAAGCGAAAAACAAGACCCAAGGAATCGGCCCTAGGAACAAGGTAGCCGCATGAGTGTTTTCGACTGCGGACCGACGCGAGGGCCCATGCGATGCAGCTAGTGGGGACCGAACGATCCTCTTTTTTTCATCGATCACTCAATCCCTTGGCAGGTGGCCTTTCTTTCTTGGCTTCGTTCGCTTAGCTCCGCTCCGTTTCTTCGTTGGAGCTCAGCTGACTTGCGACTCGCTTCGTACCAAGCTTCGCAATGGAAACGGAGCGGTATTAAGGTATACGTAAATACGTATGTTAACAGGTATCATACGACGGTTATTTCACGTTTTTCTACTCGAACGCCTTTCGGTTTCCACACGGTACGTACCACACATCAAAACTCTTCACAGCCTCCCCGCGGACCTGAGGACCCATCGGGCGGGCAGTACGCAGTTCCCAGATTGCTGGAAACGCCATGATGTTCTGACAGACAAGACCACCTGATATGTCATGGTTGCTGTATGCGAGATGTCGGCGTTCGCAACTCATCACATCAGTTCACACCATCATTCTTGGCTCTTTGAAACCAGAAGTTAATCAAGCCAAACATCCTCTCGTTCATCATGCTAATATGGTAGTACAAAATACCTAGTACATACGCATGGTTCACTGCGGCGGGCTGCCGAAGTTAGCAAAGCAGTTGACAATTGCTTACACAGAGGTTGCCGTTGAGCTAACCTGTATATGTCACCACCAAACTTTCCCACATTACCAACGAGATTGACCCCGAGTGAGTAGCGCGGTGAGTGCAGGATCATGAAATAAAGTCCACCCTCTTGAGGTAAGCACTAGGTACTATTCCTTGTCTAGACCCCGGTCCATTACGTGCTGCTGATATTTCCCTCTTACTAATTGGGGTAGTATCTGGACGCATACAGCGACTTGCATGGATCTAACTGACTGCTAGGCGTGCTAGTGAATCCCATTTGTCGGTTCTGTTGGTTTCATTGCCGCTCCCGGCGCCGGGAAGAAAGGGTTCGGTTCGTCCTTTTTTTCCCCTTCGGCTTCTCTTCCATCTGACCTCTCATTGGTTGGATCACAAGTTTTAAGAGGTTACCGAGAAACTAACACCCCCCCTCCCCCTCCCTCCTCTAGCTCGATTCGTAGCTTTGTCCGTTTTTACGAACTGCTCCGGCTTTACTCCACACAAGTTACCAACGGACGGGGCTGGAGGGTAACATTCCAACCTCAACTTGTGTTTCCTCCTTCCGTGTGCCGTGCCAACGGGGCTTACGAGAGTGGAAATTCTGGAATAACGACTGCCTAGTATTTTGCATGGATCGGATCATAGCTACCGTGTTCCCTGAAATCCTTGTGTGCCGAGAGGATGCGATTTCTTCACTGGTAAAGAGGAATACCGTCATACACTTTTGTTGTGTGAAGGTCCTTCCCACTGGATCACCAGTCAACTCTGCGCTTGGAAAACTCCAGCAGAAGTGTAAACTACGGAGTACCTACTCGTCAGGGCTAGAAACGCCGTTCTGACCCCGTGCTTGCACGGGGTCAGGCACATTGATTCGCAAAAGTTTAGTACTTCCATCGGCAGCCAGTCTCGCCAGTTTAGGAGGGCGCCAAGGTACCCAAATCCCGGCAAAGCTTGGACCATACAAGCGATACTTCGGTCTTGCACCCAACTTGGCGTGTAGGCTGGGTATTTGCGAATCCATTTGCATTTGCGAATCAATGTGCCAGACCCAATGCGCAGCATTGGGTCTGGTAGGCGTTTCTAGCCCAGACGAGTATGGAGTATGCCTTTGCCCAAAGCTCACTGGCTCGATCTGGCGCTGCCTCCATCGGCTACTGCGTGTAAGCAACCGATGTGAGCGCTACAGCGGCGCCTATGCACAGCCATCAGTCGGGATCTGGGAATCGTGTTTGATTAACCCTCTTTTTCATGATGATGATTAAGTGCTAATCATCTTGCCAGTCTCACCATGTTCCGCAAGGATCGGAGTATGGTCCAATTCGAGAGTACCTTGCAGTGCCAGGAATTAAAATACTACTCAACCCTCAATGGGTGACTCCTGTCAAAGATGTGACGGATAAAAGTCATCGGACACGTGCGCCTGGAGTTGCACTTTGATCTTGCCGACCCTACATTACATCTCCCCTGGAAGCTGGAGGAGCCTCGAGCTTCTCTGCGGCCCTTTTGAGATGCGACTGGCTGGGGGGCTGGGGACTTTGGACCCAAGAGGATCGAACGCATCCCAACGGCCGGCCACGCCGTCAGCAGGCACCGCAGGCCAGCCAGAATTTTGGGTGGAACCGGGTGCGGCGGGCGGGCGGACGGACGGACGGGAGTCAATGCTACCGTACTACCGTATTGGGACCACGCTAATAAGCTAGTGTTCGCAGTTCCCTACAGGTTAACATGGTGTTGTGTAGATGGCCAAAGGTTGTGTCACGCCGAAAGAGTGATGATGCGCACCTTGTTCCCTACTGGAAAAGATGAGCTGACAGACCTGAGCTGACTACCCGACTATATGTATTAGCTTACATTTACCGTCATTTCTTCCCTCTCCATTCTCCCCGGAAAGTTCATCCCTTTGGTTTCCTGAATCTCTACAGCTTGCCGCTTCCACTTCTCCCAGATAGTGGAGTAAAACGAGATCGTGCAGCCAGATGACGGCGTTTCTCCTCAACAGCAAGATGACCATCGAAATCCCACAAGACCATGGAATAGGCGCGAGTGCCGTTCCTGGTTGAGCTGGTCAATCCAAACTTGCTCTGCTAGAGGAGCCACCTATCTGCCCTCCTCCTACCGACACACTACTGCAGCGATTGTGTTTCATCTGTTGGAGAAAAAAGTGCTCCCTGATGTCTGATCACTCGGGTCGGGCGGGGGTGGGGGATCCCATTGCTAGGTAAGACTGGTACATCAAGTCCGGGAGCTCTACAATTGGGTGACGGATTCGGTTCACAGCTCCGCTACACGTCTCCTTCACACTTGCGATGACCGTTGATCTTTTGGTCCCTTTTTTCCCAAGTCAATCACGTCGCCGGTGGGAACGGAAAACGGTACAGGGTTGTGGATGTGATGGAGAGAACTGTATTGGGATCCATGTCCGTACCGTTCGCTATGAGAAATGGTAACAGTGGAATACTTGTTAGCGCTAGGTTAGAAGTCTGACCTTAAATCACCGCCTAAGCAGGCACGTCGGAGATTGTTGTTTTATGACAACGCTTTAACTTTCACCAGCCTCCCTCTCGGAGTCCAAACGGTGGCTGCAGCCTACAAGTAACCAAGTTCATCACATTCTGCTCCCAAGATCTCACCCGGGAATACGGTTTAAAAACCATGGTGCTTCATCGGTTATTACCTGCCTATATCATGAATTGCTTACCATCCTTCATTCTCGCTTAAACTGCCAACCCGTGTCGTACGCGCATTGACACTCCCCGGGTCCTCCTTTCTCGTGGCCAATAAGATCCGAAGCGGCTACTCTAACCGTAGAAGTTTCTACGGATAAGGTGGCTCACCACATATTACGTTTGGTCTTATAGCACGCTGCACCATTACGGCACGGCAGCAGAAGGTGTCGAGAACATGAAGATGTCATAGGTGGACTACATGATGCATCTAACCAACTGTCGAGCGCCCAACTGTAGTTTGACGTGGGATGGATAAGAAACTGCGAAAGTTTGCGAGTGTTTGTCGGCCGCCGATGAGATTGTGAAATAGAAGCTCGAGAGTGTCATAAATATAGTAAAGAATATATTTACGTCCACAACGTAGTAGTGTATGCTCAGGATGCGTGCGGGGTCGGCTCGTTTTAGAAGCCGAAGCCGCAGAAGTCCGAGATAGAAGGGGGGCTTTCTAGTCCGAGGTCTTTTACCAACTCCCAAGTGTGACGACAATGAAGTGAACCAACAACCAGAAATTGCAGGGCTGTTGGTGTTGTATCATCATGGAGTTTCGGTTGGGAGGATTTTCATTTCATCCCGTACATTTGATGCTACAGAGTGCAGACATGCGGTCCTTATACGGAATGGTAATGCGGTAACATACAGTACGGAAGGCGCTAGTTTGAGTTTGTTTCACACTGTCTGTCATCTTTCTGTAATTTACCGTAAACTTACGGTACGTAACCCGTACAGCGGCGGGTCAGCGGCAGAACCCGCCGACTCCACCGTGCCCGCTTCCAGTTCTTGATCCGGCTTCGTCTCGACGACTTCACGACGACGACTTCAGACACACACCCTGCTACGCTAGGAGGCTGTTATAGCTACCACACGCATTGTCAACCACATCGACGTAAACCAGACTATCGACGAGACTACTTCACCTACCATGGCTTCAGAACAGAATAAGGAATACTTCAAGTAAGATACCCGAGGTCCCTGTTTGCTGGGTCAGGTTTGTGACTCAGGTCTATCCACCCACCCTTGTCTTCATCCTCAGGATGCCCTGCAGCTGCTGGTTCACAATTGGAAAGGAAACTGGCAGAAGTCATGATGAGCACGCGCGGATCTCTCGGGAGCAAAGACCATCAGCATGGGCAACCAGACGCTAAAGCCATATCTCTTATAGTAACGAAGCTGCAGCGTACGATGCAAAGCACGCAAAGACCCTGGACAGGATTGTCGAGGAGATCCAGGCCAGACTTGACTTTATTGGAGTCGACTGGGTAGATGAGGACGCCGATACAGGAAGCGTGAGGCTTCTGGATTATGCCTGCGGTACTGGAGTTGGTGAGTTTTATCCTTGGTGGCCGACGTGCTGGTTCTTGGAATGTCAGGGTATCAAGCTGTGAGGAAGACCGGAGAAGAGTCTTGAGTGACTTGGATATCTGAACGGCACAGTTGTGGGCTGGGCGTATTGGGGATGTCTGAGAAGCTAGCTCTCGGGTCTTACCTCAATGGCTTAGGGTTGGAGTGATTCTATACCCGCCCGACCTCTGGCTATCTTTTGCGCGACATCGCTAATCAGACGAACTATTGTAGTGTCTAGAGTGAGTTACTCCATTGTGATTGTCTCGCCATGGTTGAAGTGTGCAGAGTATTGCCTTAAGAGATCAGGTGTCCGACACGCAGTTTCGGTCTCCTTCATGTGGAAGAGTTTCAACATATTCACCACGTCTCTACCGCACCTATGATCACGGCATGTGGACAAACATCTAACAACGTCTCTAGGCTCTAGCTCCTTATACCACACAATGTGTCGGTATCGATCTCTCAGAGAACATGGTCGCTCAGTATAACGCCAGAGCTGAAAACCAGGTACGTACTGTGTTATCCTCCTATTTTGACACCGCCCGTAGGCAACGCAGAGCGTGGAACTGATCTTCGAGCCCCGATAGGGCCTTGCTCGCGACGAAATGTATGCCTACCAAGGCAACCTTCTAGACCCAAACGATCCCGATCCCAGGGAATTTTCCGGCTTCGACTTCCACCACTTCGACATCGCTGTGGTCGGGTTGGGCTTCCACCACTTTGACGATCCCGCTCTTGCGGCACAAAGGCTGGTCGAGCGGCTCCGGCCGGGCGGTGTTCTGCTGATCTTGGACTTTTTGCCGCATGGCAAGGTCGCTGATGTACGTCTGTTTCTCTTGACCTCCCTGTAGTTGACGTGGGAATATGCATGCCCGATGCGATGCACAAAAACTAGTAAGAAGCTAACAGATGTTGATAACAAACACAGGAACACCACGCTGCTTCGCATACGATCACGCACCATGGCTTCTCCGAGGAACAGATCAAGAAGATCTTCGAAGATGCTGGCGCCGGCAAGGACTTCGCGTTGGAGACTATCGGCATTGCCTTTAACCGTGCCACGGAACAGAGGCCCGAGGAGGTCCGCAGACAGGTCTTCCTTGCGCGTGGAACCAAGGACTAAGAGGAAGGAGGGCTTCATTTGGGAACACCATGTATGATAAGATGTGGTTGATGTTGAGGCTTAAATGTCAAAGTCATTTGCAAGACACCACTGGTTATCCTTGAAATTTTTGTGATATGAAAACTTCTCAGACGATGTATAATGACGATACTCAAGCAGAATTTTAATCAAGTTTATAAATACTTGCACGCATCTGGAATGAAGACAACGAACGAGTCATGCGGTGGCATATGGAGGATTGTTGGTAAATTTACCACCCCGACGCTGTCATCGAAAGCAACCAAAGCATGCATTACGGACAAGGGAAAAAAAGGAAGGAACAAAATAGTGAAACGAAAATCACAAATGCAAACGCTAACGTTGTGATAAAAGACAAATCTCAATTTCAAACCCAACAAAGGGAAAAAAAAAAAGATGGTCTCTCCCGCCGGGAATTGAACCCGGGTCTCGAGCGAATCGAACTAATGTTCAAGCTTAACAAGCTCACATACTGACCACTACTTGGGGGTTAGCGATAGCTTGGGTAGACCCTTTTACCAACCCCCTCTTATAAAAGAGGGGGAAATTTTTATATAGGATAAACTTTTAGTCTAGGATAAGGCCCGGTTAGTACTATACAAAATTAACTATTAACGCCGTGCAAAACTACTCATTTACATCGTAAAATCGAACAACATTCTATACTGTAACATATACCTACTATTTGTAAATCTCGTTATAAAGTTATAAAATAGTAAATAGTTTATATATTTATAAATTAATAGAGGAGTCATTAACCGTTTAATACGTATAGTACTTGTAAATTTCAATAAGTATTTTAAAGAGTTAGGAGAGGCGCCCGTTAAATATAGGGGCGCCCGTATATATTTCGATACCTACAAACGTTTTAAACATTTTAGAATATTATATAAGCCGCCGATTATTAGAGAGATTGCTACTATTATTAGAGAATTACATACTTTTATATTTCGCCATATTAAATTATTAATCGAATATAGTAAATTAATTATTTCGTTACGCCCAATAGGGAAGCCCTATATATTAACGCCTATTAAAAAGGATGCTTTTATATTATCACGGAGCGTGAGGGCACCGTTGGGGGTAGGGTAAGATATACGTTATTATACGAGGGAGAGAAAGGGAAGTGTACGTAGTGGACTAGCTATATAGGCGGGAACTCAGCAAGCTAGTCCGTGCGCGCGTACGTAAGGCTGCACGTAACTAGGATATATAATTAGTACGTAAGTACATAGCTCTAGGCCATAACACCAGCTCTAGTATAGCATATATACAAACAATATAGTATAACTACATTACAAGCTAGCCCTATAATATTATCCCCTCTTAAAAAAAGCTCGTAAAACTAAAAAAATCTATATATATATAAAATAATACCTTTTATTACTTCAATAATTCCATTTCAACCTTCTCCTCTATTGTTAATTCTTTTAATAGTACGCTCGGGTCGACTTCAAAACCCTCCTCGTTGTAATTTACGAAATAAACTTTTAATATACGCCTAGACTAAATATCTATTAATTTCCTTAAAATCCTCGCGAAGGCTACTTCCAAGCCCTCAATTTCCTATTTACCTAAAGTACCATCGAATAAGTATAATACTAATATAATTATAGCGGCGGTAATTTCCCGTTAAATAAGGCAGGCGGAGCGCCGCCGTAGGGGTCCTAGAACGGCCGGTGCTAATATTAGTACCGGGTTATTTTAAATAACGGTTAGGGTTCGAAATATTAATATATCCCAGATATCCGGGGGTATAAGTAAATTAGGGGATTCGTTATAAAAGCGTTAAAATATTTCCTTATAATTAATAACGTAATCTTTAGGCTCCTAAATTGGCTAATTATTACTTTTCTATTTAATTCGATAGTACTAGTAAAAATTGCCGCCGAACTAAGCATAATCGATAATCTTTTCGAAGTTCTATTCTTCCTATTCCTCGTAATTATCGGGTTTAATTATAACCCGGCCGTCGTTTACCTTTATATTTAACGATGTATTCCAACCGGAAAGACCTTTCCTAATTTATAACTATATTATAAATATATAGAATACTAAAAAATACTTGATATTTATCGGGAACGCGAAATATATTATATAATTTTTAATATACGCAACGCGGAAGGGGCCCTCCTATTAAAAGTAAAATTTCAAATATAAGCGCCCGTTAACAAAGTTTATTATATTTAATAAAGTTAAATCGCCAAAATAATACCTAGAGAAATCGACGCGTTTTTTATTAGTATTATCCTCGTATCGCTCCTATATATATTAGGTTTACTAAATTACAAAGTCCCAAACTCTTTAGAAGCGGTCCATTAATTCTAACGCTTTATAGTATTCTTTTAATTAAGCCGGTAATAAATTTAGGAGAAGTAATATATAGGGTTCAATACCTATTCTCAGATAGTAACTATAATTAGTAAAAAAAGGGTAAAATACCCGTTAATAAAAATATAGCGTTATTATTAGTAAATTCTATAATTAGTAATTATTTAACCTAGTCCGTTTATACCTAATTAATATAAAGTCGTAAGAACTATTCTATCTCTATATTAATCCGCTTGGTTTAAATATTAATTGAGGGGTAGAAAGCGGACGTTAACTTACAGATAATTAATAATCTCCTATAAAAAATAAATTAGAAACATAATATAGATTAGGTACCCCTATTTAATAGTACGCTATTTAGTAAGCCGTAAATCGAATAAATATAATTAATAAAGCGATTAATAAGCTTTTCCGCCTCTAAAATTACCGTTAGGATATAGTACTACATTTTAATTAAACAGTCAACGATAATAATAATATATTTAAAGGTTTAGCCAAAGTAAGTATTACTTAGTAATAGGGTAACGTAATCGATTATAATATCCTTCTATAGCGTTAGAAATACGGCTATAGGCTTAAAATAATTAGCGGAGCTTCGTTTTACTAATTTAATTTTTATATAGGGAAAGTATCCTTTATAGAAGATCCTTATATCGTTATATATACCCTCTTAGAAGAATTCATATTATAAGAATTCGTAAGTAGCGTTACAGCTAAGGTAACCCGCGCCCGGAGAATTATATTAGTAATTAATTAGCTAGAATTAGAAATCCTTATTATAAAGATCAATAATAACTTTATCCCGCCACTTTATAATACTATTAATAATATAATATTTAAAAAAAAGCCTACTAAAAACCCTTTTTAATAATCAATAACTATTAGCGTTTTACCCCGTTTATTAAATAAGAGATTAATTCTTATGAGAAAATAAAAGTCTTATAATTTGCCCAAATTAAATTATCGGTCGATTTATTATCGAAGTCATCTATACCTAATAAATAAAGGGAAAAATTAGCCGTAAAGTCCTCGAAATAACTATATTCGAACTATAAGGAGTTTCATGAAGTCCGTTTACGTATTACAAATTTATTATTTTCTACGTCGTCGGGGCGGTCGTTTAGTTTGCGGTTTAGTACGTTTAGGCGGAAGTTTTTAGAACTTAATATATATTTAATTAGGAAATTAAAACAGAATAAAAATTAGGACTACCACATATAGCGTTAGGTAAGTTATTTATTAGTTATAAAGGTTTATAAGTTCTTATAATTTATTAAAATATCGAATAGTTATTAAGCTCCTTCGAACTCCGGCCTCTATTCCTTTAAAACTTTAATAATAGCTAATAATTCTTTATTATAAACGTTATAATTATATTCTTAGGAAGTATATTTAGTTAAGAAGTAAACAATCGGGTAGAGGATATCGTCGTTATTGTATTGTAAGAGGGTACCGCCAGCGGCCTAATTAGAAGTATTTATTTCGATAATAATCTTTTTAGTCTAATTATAGATTTTAAATACGAGGCCCCTGGTAAAAATTTTCTTTAGAGATTCGAAAGCTTTTTAATAATTGTTATTCCAAATCTAAATTGTATTTTTCTTAATAAATTTGTAAAATAAGGTTACTATAGTTGAAAGATCCTTTATAAAACACCAATAGAAATTCGTAAAGCCTAAAAAGGATTATAGGGACTTTTTAAACTCGGGCGCCTATTAGTCAGTAATTACTTTAACTTTCTCTAAGTCTATTTTAATACCGCTCGGCGTAATAATAAAGCCTAAATATTTTATACGTAACGTATAGAATTTATACTTATCGATATTAATATTAAGGCCCACTTTAATAAACCTTTCGAATACGTTATTAATATAGCGCTCGTAATTTTATATATTATTAGAATAAATAAAGATATCGTCGAAATAAATAGTTATATAAACGTTAAGGATATTATAAAGGATATTATTAATATAATTTTAGAAAGCCCTTAGGGCGCCTTATAAACTAAACGGTATTATTAAAAATTTAAATAAATTAAATTATATAATAAAAACGGTTAGCTATTCATAACTCTATTTAACGCAGATATGGTTAAAAGTAGTAATTATATTGAATTTAATAAAGATTTTAACATAGCAAATCGCATTAAGGGTCTTTTTAATTAATAGTAAAAGGTAACAGGATTTAAGAATTATATTATTAATATTTCTATAATTAATGTATACGCGTACTCTGCCGCTTAGCTTCTTAATAAATAAGACCGCTATTAATACTTCGGATTAGGATGGCTTAATAAATTTCTTCTTAAAATTATTATTAATCTATTTTTTAATAACGTTAAATTCGTTAGAGTTAAAAGCGTAGCCGCGAGAGGTGGGCAATATAGCTCTCGGACGGAATTCGAACTTGAAATTATAAAATTGAATAGAAAGAAGGACTTTAATACCTTTTTATTTAAATATATTAATATAAGACTAATGTTATTTAGGGAATTTAATTTAGATTTAAGCGTTAATTTTAGGAAATTTATTAGCCTTTTTGTAAAACTCTATAATATTTTCCGATATAATCTTATTAATAGAAACGTTATTAATTACAAAGTAATCATTAATAACCCTCTTATAACGGGGAAAATCCTCCTCTTTACTAGTAAAGTAGATAAAGTTAGCTACCCTTATCGTACGGAGCGTATCCTTATTTCTTTTATTAATTAAAGTATTGATTTATTAATAGAAATA